CGCCCTTCCGCGGCCCCTCTCCCCCTCCCCGCCGCCGCCCGCGGCTGAGGTGATGCTGTCGGCCCTCAGGGAGGCCTCCCAGGCTGCCCGCCCCGTGGGGCCTCTCTCGGGCTGCCCTGCTGGAGCCCTGCGGTGCCGGCAGAGCCAGTCCCGCTGCCCACGGCCTCGAGAGGCGACGTGAGGGAGCGTGGGTGGGGCTTCCTCCATGTTTGTTTCCTTCCTCAGGGGGAGACCCGCAGCCCGAGGCGCGGAGCGTCAGTTTCCAGCTGATGGTGCAGGAGCTGGAGGCTTGATGGAAGTATTTGCTTAAGGACCCCACGCTCGCACCGAAACCATTAAAAGGGGAAAGAGGCTCGAACCGATGGTATTGCGGGCCTCTCTCTGTTTCCTATGGCCAACGCGCCCAGCGCTGGGCTGGCAGCTGCGGACCCTCGGGTATTGGCCTTGGCTGCTCAGGTCACTGAGAGCAGAGAACAGGACATCCCTCTGCTACTTCTGAAGTTAAAGGGTAATTAATGCCATTTCTAAAATAAAAAGGATGAGGTAGTGAAGTATGGACAGTCCTTCTTCCTTCTGTCTCCTTAAATACAGAAGGTTTTTCTGAGTATTTCTGGCAGGGCTGGAAACTCTGTAGGATTAATAATACGGCTTTCCCTGAGAGTGGTGTTGAGTGGCATTTGGCTTGGCAACAACAAGGAGGAGGAGCTGGGGAGCAAAATGAGAGGAAGTCTTTTCTCCCTCTCAGCTGTCTCTGTAAGACCTGATGTGGGCAAGGATCTTCCACTTGGTCAAATAATTTCTCCCACTGCTTTTGGCAGAGAGCTGGAGTGGTCATCAGTATTCAGTTTTTAAGTCTTAACATAAAAATGCAATCGCAGGCGCCTGGGTGACTCCCCCTGTCTTTCCTTTTGCCACATAGCCACTGCTCGTAGAAACGGTAGAAACAAGTTAGGTCCTGTTCTAAATTGGGATGTAATTATAAGGAAGCTATATGTTGCACAGTGGTTGTGGTTTTATCTTGCCTAGGAAATTCATACAAATGGGCTATATGCCAGGTAAGGTATGTTTTACTACTACATGTGTAATGAGAAAATGGAAACCTAAGTTTAGCTATCTGTCCCAACTGTCATATAACCTAACAAATGGATTGTAGCTGTAGGAGTGAAAAGCGCTGACAAAATATTTTATGCTGTTGTTAGCGCTCTTAGAATTACCTTATTCCTGGCTCTGTGTACACATTTTCCTCTTATGCTTGGGGAAAAAGGAAAAAAAAAAAACCAAAAAAACCAAACAAACCAAAACCCTTGCACGTCAGCATCTTATGGTCCTCTTTGTCTTTTTCCTGCTTTCTTCCCACAGGAATTTTAAACAGTGCTTCGTTGGGATGTGAAGAAGCAAAAAAAATTAAGCAAGATATATACGATTATGATCTTACTCAGTACTGCATGTTGGTCCTTAGACAAGACCATTCTCGACTGCTTGGAGGCTGGGATACTGCTGCCCAGCTAGCAGAGATACTAAGGTAAAAAAAAAAAAAAGTACTAAGGAGTTTTCTTCTTGTTTTCTTTCTGGCCTTTCATCTTGCTCTTTTTCTTTTCAAGCTGTAATACGTTGGCTTCCATACAGAACAAGGCTTGTTGTTCGGAAAAGGCCAGGGTTAAAGTGCAGGGAGCAGTCAAGAGCAGAGGGGTCAGGCATAGCCTAATTGGTCCTGTTTAATTCATTCTCATTGTGTTTCATTGAGCTGGGTAAACTGTTTGGTGGGAACAGTTTTTGTGTTGGCTTTACCTTTTTTTGTGAACAGTACTCATCAGTGTCACGGTTCTTACCCAGTAATTGCTAATTTTGAATTGCGGCTATTTAAAAAAAAGTTTGTTTACTTAGATTTCATCTTGCAAAAATCTTCAGCCTGATTGACTCACAGCTTGGCTTGACTCTATTTAAATATCTATTTAATACATCTATTTTAAATATCTATTTACATTTTGAACTTAATAGAGGACAGTTCATACAGACTAAATAGCTTGATGTAGTGATACTGTGAGAATGGCATAATTAAACTTAGATCATAGCTAGTAAATAAAACTTTAAACTAAAATCCCCGGTGAGCCAATCTCAATCTTCAATGTCAAGAAAAATAATAAGTTTTAATTCTTCCCCAAGTTGTACTTGATTTTGGCTTAACTAGGCAGCAAAATTCTAAGGCATGAAGCAATTAGGCAACCATCTCTTATTTATGCCATATCTGCAGTATGAATTTTTAATGCCAGGAATTTCACTTAGAGATGCAAGATTTATCACCAGAGTTGTGTGACACTTAAATTATCCCCTATAAGCTATTTCAGTTTGCAGAGAAAAGTGAAATTTATTTTACCTATAAAAATGTCCTTTTGTAACTAGATGAATCTCAGCTTCATGCCTAGAATTTACTTTCCAAGGCCTTTGGTAAGCAAAGCTTTATGTGTGTGCATTCATAAAAAGCTAACAAAGCCTAGATAAGATGTCGGAAAGCAAAATTCATAAAAAGTTAGAAAGACTCTTTTGTTGCACTAGTATCGGTGTGGAATACAGAATTGAAAAACTTCCCGGTTGTAAAATGTGCAGTTTCTTGTAAAAAATCTTTCAGAAATGACTGACATGCTTGCGGTAAGTAAAATAAGAAAACTGAGATCTGAAGGACTGATTTCTAGTCCACATGTATTCCTCAGTTAGAGGAAAGTTGTAGACAGACCCGCTGAAGATTTTGTGGTAAGTTATACTTTTTTTTTATACATATGTTTGTTGCCTGATCTGCACACCCTTTATCAGGTTTCCTTTATCACTTTTTTGTCTACCTTTTTTTTTTTTTTTTTTTTTTTTTTTTTTCCCCCCTTTATGACCATCAGATCCCATGAAGCTAAAGGAGAAAGCACCCTGGATATGTTTTAAACTGAGACATAGTATAATAAGCAGTAATATACTTGCTGTTTCCAGCTTGCTAGTGATTCCTCTTCTTTTTGAGGAAACCTTGGGGCCAGTCACAGCAGTTAACTGTTGTTCAGTGTTGAATTGTCCCGTGCCAGTCAAGCATTTCTCCTCTCATGACGTGACATTCATTCAAAGCTGTTCAAACAGGCCCTCAACTATTCAGGTTGATTTTTTTTTTTTTCTTCCCCCATTTCAGTCATTGTTGTGTAGGACTAGAGGTGAAAGAAGATCCTGAGGAATTCTACAAGAAATTTCTTCCTTCAGCTATAGACAACCTGCTGTTTTTGGGAAGGCGCTTGCAAGCACGATTTATCCGAGCAATCAAGGTATTTAAATTTCATAGTTAAAAGAGCAGAGAACCTCTGTAAACTTTCCAAGGTTACGTATTGTATAAGTAGAATATTATTCTAGGGACACTGTATTATGAAAATTTATTTTTCCAGAAATTACAGTAATTTTTCTTATGCCTTGGAGCTTTGAAACTGAAATCTGTCATTGTGGAGCATTCAGTCCATTACATATGTAAAGTAGTTTGGCTACTACTTTTTGCAAGTTTTAAAGGCAGGGGAAAGGAATGCAATTATAGGTAGGATAGAAGAATTAGAGCAGCATGATAGAAAAAAATGCCTTACAAAAGGCAGCATCCCAGTCACGGTGGTGTCTTTTTAACTTTGCATATAATTAGTTCAGTCTTTGTAATGGCTCTGTTCCCACTGCTTTATTCAGCTTTACAAAAAAGGTTTAGGAACTTTTGAGACTTTAACTCAGATTTGTTGAAGTTTGTTTTGCCATACAGTTTCTGCTGCAAAATAGGCAAAATATTCTAAAAATGCTCACTGCTTCTGAACCTGTACGTTGGGAATCCAAAGGCAGAATTTGTAGAATTTGTAGATTTGAACGCTTCCTCACATTTCTCTCCCTCTTTGCAGAGAAGAAGGGTTTTGCCCAGCTAGGTTCCCTCATGCCTTTGCAATATTCTGAGTTCCAGAATCAGGAGGAAAAAAACCCCGACAAACAAAACCCATGAATAATTTAAATAACCAACCTCAAGGACTCTGATAGTTTCTTTTAATATCACCATTTCCCCTTAGTATCTCATTTCTTGATTCACTGGCTTCTTGCACTTAGACAAAGTTTTCCTATGGAGTATTGTGCTGGACACCATAAACAATCAATTCTCAGAAAGTATCAGTAGAGTAACGTATTTACTGTTAGTTCATGACTTTAGAAGTGCATTTAGTGCTTAAGAAGGAAGCTTCCTGAATGACATCCCAGGAGACTCGAGTCTCATCCGCAATATGTAATTTCCCCCACACTTTCTTATTATGTCTCAGCCTACATGCTACTTGAGTCATGCTTGTGGGCAAAGATTTCTTTTGAATGCAAATTCAGTCTACATTATAATTAGTACTTTGGCTTTTAAGCCTTGTGGTCTCAGAGGTGACTCGGCACCCAGACTTGGTGCTTGCTCAGTGGAACTTCGGAAATCCCACTCTACCAGTGGAGATTAGTAGTTTATTCTGCCCTCATTTGCTTTTTACACAAGTCTTTGAGGTCAGGAGGAGTACTGAAATAGCTTTCAGAAACTGACGTATTGCCAAAACACAGAATAGATAATATTACAACTTAATTTACTGCTGTGATTTTGTATCTCTCATTGTCAGTAAGAACCAAACACAAAGTTAAACCATGACTGATGGCTGGGATTTACAGTGCAGATCTAGGAATAAGACTTTCCAGACTTTCATTTGTGGAGGCTCAGTTAAGGTGGAGATGTTGGGCCAAGTGCTTTACAAGAACATTTGTCAGCAATGTAGTATTATCAAAAGCCCATGTGCTGTTCACACACCAAGACTTTTCCAGTGGCCTGTAGTTCACACCTGGAATTACAGGCTCTAGACTGCCTGTGTACGTGCATTCACATATTAAAACCTGGATTCTTCCTGGTCATTTTTTCCAGTCCAGTGTTATCACAGTGTTAGCACATAACATAGTCCGTTTGGCAAACTGGTCAAACTTCAGTTTAACAGTGGTTTGGTGTTTGTTCCCAGACCTCCAACTAGGAGGCGCTTCTGACGCCTCACCATGCCAGTTTTTAGGAACTTTTTCCATTTTAACTGTGTTCTTGGCCAGTTTGTACCCCTTTCCTATGCTTTAATCTTAAATAACATATTTCCCGCTTTGTGGATTAAATCGATGATGCATTTGTAGTGAGCCTTTATTTGTTGTCTTAGCCCTCCTATGCTATCCAATATTTTTAAGGGGTAAACAAGACTTCTCTCACCCTATTATGATGTTTTCAGGAATGGATGCTTTTTTTAGTATGCTCAGATTTTCTTGATTGATCTCTGGCCTTGAAGGACACACAGGTTATTTTTTTTGTTTCTGGTTCCTACAGTTTCACCAGCCTCATTTGGGAATTTGATGGAGTTTTGTTCTCCAAATCCCTGAAGCATACAAACTTTTCTGCTACATCAAGCTGAAGTCCTCAGTGAAAATACGTACACGTGCTTTTACCTACTTCTCTTTTGTTTAGGATGAAGAAAAACAAGATTTTTTACACTGGTTCCAAACAGTAACTGATGCCATCTGCTGGCTGTTCGGTGGGCATATTCAACTAGCAGCATGTGGTAAGGGAACAGTAAACCCATAAAACACCTGAAAAATTACTTATGGCAACTACAGGTATCAAGAATCACTCCTAAGCTAATCTCCACCTAGTTTTCTAAATTGGAGTAGATGTTAAATCAATCTCTTAAAGTAGTCCACTCAACAGAAACAGCAATAACAGCAGCAATAATAACATGGAAAAGATCCCCTAAAGGGAAATACTAAAGAGTTCCCCTTCTAGTCTTGCAGAGACAAACATTGTAAGTGTTTTCCTGTAATTTCCCATTGTAAATCTATACCTTAAAAAAATCAGTTTGGTTTTTTTTTTCTGAGATGATACAATTGATCTTTTTACCTTTGTGTGATTAATATACGCAGAAGTTTGACCAGAGTACGTTGCTGGCACTGAGAAGTGGATAGACTTGAAAACAGATTTCTGGAAAGTTTCCTGGTGTGGCAACAACTTCAAATGTCTAACAAATTTCACTATATGCTTCTGACCAAAGCAAGCTTTTAATTAAACCAATGCTAATCACACTGATTTTTAAAAAGCAGAATTTGGTTTTGTGTCTAATATAGAACAAAAACCTAAGGACCATAAGATGTGTAACTAACAACAAATGGCCAGAAAAATTACTAAATACATAGTTAGTGATACACTGGAATAAAAAAGATGTTTTAATGACATCAGTGGACTGGCATTAAATAAACCTGATGTAATAAACTGTCAGGATTGAAATCCTTTTCTAGATATTGTTGCCCTAGTGATAATTCCACTATTGTAATAAGAAACTGATACTAGTGTAACACAAAAGATTTTAAAGCTTTTATTCCATTGCAACACCAGTGCCTGAGGGATATCCAGAGGCAGAAAAACAGGGCTCAACATGTTTTTTGGATGTTGAAGTAGTTTACTTATTCCAGTAAGTTTCAGTGTAAAAATTATAAAAGAGGGAGTTTGTTCCAGAAACATTATCTGGTTTTACTTGCCATGGGGTTTGTTCCGTGATGAAGTTTATTTGTTTTATAGTATTTTCAAGTCTGTTTCTGATTGTGTGATTTCTTGTTTGCTTGTTTTTGTTTTTTTGCAGTACTGCAAAATGATCACTTCCTGCAGTTGTTAATAACAGATGATGTTGAAACAGCAATTATAATGATGTCTGTTTTACACAGTATTTTGAAGGTCAATAGGTTAGTTGGTTTTATATTGTTGTTTTTTCTGAATTTTAAATTTTGGTTCTTTACTGCTTGGTAAAATAGAACTTTTTCATATACAAGAATTGTTCTGTTGGGTTCTTTTCCCTAGTCTTTGTTGTAGGAATAGAAAAAAAATAGCTATTTTCTTTATCTTGTTGTTAAATTGAGGGAATGGGAATCAGTTGACTGAAACAGTAGTACTGCCTGGATCAGATTGCTGGTCCAGCTAGCTGGGTATGTTCGCTTGCTGAATGCCTGACATACCTAAAAATAAGTCACTGTTTAAAAGATCATAGTTTGTAATTAACACTTCAATTTTGTTCCCCCCTGCTTTTTTTTTTTTTTTTTTTTTTTTTTTGTTCTTTTTATAGTTCTGTTTTGCTTCAGGTTGACGAAGAGACCCTTCACTCTGTTTTGGATGAACTTGTTTATAAGCTTTCATCTACCACCAATCCTGTCATAGGAAATGCTGCTACAAAACTGCTGTTGTTGGTGGCAAAATTTTGCAAGCAGCTTGTGAAGTTACTCACAGCTCGCTACAAAGGTTTGTAAGCATGCATGGGACCAATCACCCAGCCTCCTCTTACATTCACTGCAAAAATACAAAGACAGAGGTTTCCTGTCCTTGTTCAATAACTGTCCAATACAGATGGAAACTGCAGTGCTGTGTTGGTGGGTTTGTTTTTTTTCCTTCTCTTCTGTTAATATTCATTGTACTTTAAGGTGCCATGCCCCTTTCTGTTCCCTAGATTTATTTTCTTCTGTATATTGAGGACTCTGCATGTGGCAACTTGTCTCCTAAAGCTTGTCACTTCCAACCTGATAGGCTTTTTTTCCATGTGGTGTTCTGTGTCTCTTTTCCTGTGCAGGTTGGATATTGAGAGATCCTGGTAGCAGGGTGCCTGCACTGCCACAGTAAGAGACAGGTGTCAGACATCTGCCGGTGTGCTAAGGCTCACTAATCCAGAAGCATGAAAGTTTTGCCTAAAGCCAGCTTCTGACCCTGGCTATTACGGGCCTGCTTATCTGATAGGTGCTGTTCTGTTACTGAGGACTGTCTTTTGATATCCAAGCGATTGGAATGAATTCTTTCCAAGAATTCATTAAATGAGTTTATCATTTTGTCTTGATGCCTTTAGATGGGGACGCTGAGTATGCACATAATTTGCTCTATGTTTTTCATTATTTAATGAGGTGTCCCATTTAATATTTCTGTCTCTAGCCTAGCAGGGAGCTCGAGTAAACACCTTTGTCCTCTGTCATGCCCATGGAGACTAAGAAAGAAGCTTTGATGCTTCCCAGGTCTTTTATATTCTGGATGTTACTGATGGTCAAAACTACTTGTGAGCAGCCTCAGTCCTTTGGGGACAAGGACAGTAAGAAATGGGTATGCTAGACAAAATGGTCCACTTCCCTTTTTTTAGGCTTGTGCTGACTACTTATTAGGCAGTACCAGCCAGATAAATTTCTGGACCAGATGGGCAGCTTTGCTACCCTTTTGCCTAAAGGACTGAGAGAAGAAGGCTTCCTTTTGGTAGAAATTAAGTATAACATGCCTAAGGTTGGTATCACATTGCAGAATCTTGTGAAGCTGCTGTGATGATCTGATCATCACAGCTGTAGAATGCTGGCTAGTCTGAAGAGGAGCAAGTCTCCATCAAAAGATTAGCTTTATTTGGCTCTAGAATCACAATATGCTACAATAATTTAGAGACACTTAATCTCTCTTCTGTACAGGTTTTTTTTTTTTTTTTTTAAGTTTGAGTCCTTATGTTAGTTTTTACTCGGGCTTTGGAATCCTTTAGAGAGTTGGAAGAGCAGCAGCAACAAAGCAAGTATTACAGCATTTCTGCCATCTGGCCATCTCGTTCAAGTAACTTGGCTTCTCAGTGGTTCAGAGCTATTGCCAGTATGAGGTACTTCAGCTTTCTGTCAGTAAAGGCAGCCTGCCGGAGGCGAGAATGTCACCTGAAGCTCACATCTCCAAGACTAGCACAGTTTTACATCAGGTTTCCAGGAGGGCCTGATCTTGTCTGCGTGGGCTGACATATCCAAGAGGCACACTGGGGGTACTCCCTGTCAGTAGCTGAAAAAGGTGCATATGGCTGTGGAGCCTGTACAGAAACTGGCAAATGGTTGTCAGACCCATAAGACTTTGGAGTGGGAGCTGCCTTGTGTAGCCAGGCTGCATGGTTTTGCAGAGCTCAGGCAGCCTTAGGACACCCACTGACTCTGTTTGGAGTCTCACCTGTCTCTCTCCTCAAGTGTTTTAACAGTCATCATCTTTCCAAAATGCTGCGTGTGTGATAGGACAGAGGGGCCATTTCTGTTTGCATGGAGGACTTTGTGTTCCATATCCAGATCTTATAAGTACATATGAGCGTTGGACCTGCCCAGTGTATGAATATGACTATGAACAATGGTTTGAAGATGGAAATGTTACTTGACTCTGCAGTTCTTCAGGAGGCTATCCAAACACGTGTCTACTTCCTGCCCTCCTTCCTTTTTTCTCCAACTCCCTGCAGACCTCTCAAGCTCTGGAATTTGTCTGATACAAACCTAAAAAAGCATGTGTTACTGTCTACTTGTGTCCTGTGCGCAGCACAAGGGGGTGTGTGTGTGGTGTGGGGGGAGCACAAGTGTGCTTTTTAGCTACTGCAAACCTAAAAAGCTATTTTGTCTCTGGGATTGGATGCCATGTGCTCACAGTTAGACTATGCTATACAGATAAGACATCAAAGAATTCCAGTTATAAATAAATGCATTTTTATTATGAAAAATATGAAAGCAGTGCTAATAAAACCTAGCACTTGCATGGTGCTTTGCATCCTTTTAGTGCCTTACAATGACTTACTGATAAGACAGTGGAAGTACATTGATAATTTAACTGCCAATTATATAGACACAACAGATAGTGACTTGGACATACAAAATTACAGTCAATGTATAATACTTCTCTGTGATGGTTGGAGCACCAGATATTCATTGATAATGTTCTGCATTGGAACTCAAAGATGATGGTGTTCAGCTCTAGTGTTCCTTTGTACATAGAATCAGATTCGATTTTTTGACTTGAAAATTGTTAGTTTGAAATCCTGAAAAGAAAAATTCACCTTAGCGGTATCACATGCTGCTTCTCTCTCTCTTAGGATTAAAAGGGCTTTTAAGTAAACAGTGGACTGGCAAAGGCTTTGACAGGGATCTCTTTCAACTTTTGGACCTGCTGGACTTGGAACAATCCAATGGAAAAGGAGAAATGCAGGTGCTGATGTTTAATGAGACTCTTGTGTGTGAAATCCCAGCTACATGCGATTTTTATATGTTTAGAACGGATTTACTGTATCACTTTGACACTTTTTAAAGCCTGTGGGTTTTTTTTTTCACTATATCAATGGATTTTTAAGTTTCCTGTTGATTAATTTTTTTCCCTCCATCACTTTTAAAGACATCAAGGAATTGTCCAGTGATTAAGGTATGGGACTGTGACTCAAGAGATTGACTGTCTGTTGCATGTTTGTTATAGATTTCTATACAACAATGGGGGGGGGGGAATAGTTTTCTAACTACAAACCAAAAATAGCTGTAACTGCTTTTCTCACATCAGCGTTACAAATTTAGATCTCTGAATTCTAGGCAGTATTCACATCGAATTAAGTCATATGGAGAAACCTTCTGGGCCGTGTTCCCAATGAAAGACAGGTGTTTTTTGTGAACTTCTTACCAAAATTTTACATGCAGGTTTCTCACAGACAATACTTTAAAGGAAATCAGAGTGATGTTTGTAGAGATCTGCTTTCATCCTCAACAGAGCAGGGTGTTCTGTGGCTTGCTTGTTTGTTTTTTAAATTCTATTTAAGCATAGAATTTTTTTTTCACATTTGTTGCATTTCAGTGACTTCTGATCATACAGCAAATGTAATGCTTTTCTGCTGCTAATTCTCCAAACTTACCTTTCTGACTTCTCTAGTGTAGGTAATTTGATTGAATTGCCATTTGAAATATCAAGTGCTTTAGGTGTTTTAAGTACAAATTTCTAATGTTGATGCAGCTAATGTATATTTTATATTTGTGCTGTAGATTCATTTGTGTGCCACAGAGAGCATGGATCCAGATGATCAGATTAGCTGCCTTTGGAGCAAGTACGGGTGGGGTGTCATGAGAATAACTGTTTTATAGGACCTTAAATTCCCCGAGCTGTTAACAAAGACTGAATTTTCATGCATCTGAAAACTGACATTTTTTAGCCAAATGTTGAGATTGTTCCAAATATGCAAGCAGTAATAAAGTGGTTTTATATGCAGGGAAAATATTCTACCAACTCTTTTATTCATTTCAGAGGCAGCATCAAGCAGCTTGTATAATCCAGGCTATGTGGAGGGGATTTCAGACAAGGAAAAGGCTGAAAAAACTACCCCAAGCAGTGACCACCTTACAGAGAAGCTTCAGGTAAATAGTGTGGCTTTGTAAAAAGTGCTAAAGAGAAGGCTCTAGTAAGAAGGTTTGGTTTGGTTTTTCTCTGATCAGAGTTGCAGGAAAAATTTAGGTCATCTAATCCAATCTCCTGATTGAAGTAGGGCCAGCCTCAAAATGGGATCACCAGCCACCGCTGACCATAAAAGCCCATTTCTGCAGCCCTTAGGCAAGGCTTTTCTTGCCTGAAATAGTTGTATAATCACACCTAAAATGTATCCAGTTCTGGAGGTCTCCAAGGATGGAGATCCCACCATCTCACTTGCTCCCTGTCCTGGTGCTGCATGACTTGCCTTGTGAAGAATTCTTCTATTACAGCCAGTGGGAATTCCCTTGTTGCAGCTCTTTACCACCACCTCTTGTCCTTTTTCTGTGCATGTCTAAGAGTCAGGCTTTGTCTTCCCTTCCTTTAGCCTAAACAGCCCCATCTCTTCGCCGGTCTTTGTATATCGTACATTCCATAGCCCTAATCGTCCCCATCTGAACAGTCTCTATCCCTTCAGTTTGTCAATATCTGTCTTCTACGGGGGCACCCAGCGGAGTGTGGACAATATTCCAGGTGTGTCCTCAAGAGTGATGAATAAAGCAAAATAATAATCTTCCTTGACCTGCTGCCTCTGCTTTTGCTAGCACAGCCCACAATGCAACTAGCCTTTGTTACTGCAAGGGCATGCTACTGGCTCGTGTTCAACTTGTCACCCACCAGGAACCCTGGGTCCTTTTCATTGCAGGTAGTCAGTACAGGTAGTCAGTGCCCAACCTGCCCTAGTTCATGAGGTTATTTTGTACCAGGTGTAGAACTTCCCATTTGAACTTCATGTGGTTTCTGTTGGCCCATTTGCTGTGTTTGTGGAGGTTCCTCTGAGTGTCAGCCCTGCCCTGCATGGGAGACTGTGATAACAGCCTTGATAAAGTCAAGGAAAATGACATCCACTGCTCTGCCCTCATTCACAGAGCCAGTCATCTCACCTCAGAAGGAAATCAGGCTGGTCAAACGTGATTTGCCTGTGATAAATCTATGCTGGCTATTCCCATTCACTTCCTGTCCTTCCTGGAAATAGTTTCCTTCAGGATTTGATCCCATATCCCAGGACATAGGTTTGGGCTGACTAAGAGTTTTTTCATCTTGAAGGTCCCCTTTTCCAGTCAGCTGTTGTTTCTGAAACATAAAGGTAATATAATGCCAATATGATCTGTTTCACTACAGATTCTTTTAGCAGAAACATCCAAACAGTGTGCTTTTCCAGCAGTACCAAACTGCCACTTCTAGTGCCAAAAGCTCCAACTGTCCCTTTCCCAGCTGCCAAACTTCTCCATGAAAAAACTTCCTTCTATGGTGCTTTTATGTGTTTTCAGTGTAGAAATTTATGGTGTATGAAAAGCTAAAAGTGTGGCACACTGTAGCATGGGATTGCACTGTAGCATGGGATTGCACTAAATAGCACTAGGAGATGATGTACTGGTGGTAGAACAGTTAACTGGTTCACAGTTAACTTGACACAAAATTCCATGGTAATTTGAACGTGGAGCAGTCGCGGAGTCTCCGATCTGCCATGCCAGAGTGCTACAGAGACTAGGGACCGTAGAGCTTGCTCAGTGTAGTGCTTGCAAGACCTTGTTCTTCATTAATATTTTAAATCTTTGACTCTCAGAAGTGGAGTCGCTTCAGTGACCTAGAAATTGAATCCTCTGATTTGGAGCACCACGGAAGAATGAATGAAGCTATGTAAATAATGCTTGTCTTACTTGAAGGAGGATTTCGGCAGCGATGTTAGCACATGTTAGGCTAACTCTTCTGAGAAATTTAGTGTGAATTTTACATAGGTTATGGGATCTAAATCAAGTTCAGACTCCACAGCAGGTTTTTTTCGACATTTTTTTTGCATATGTTGAACACTACCATGTCAAAACTAGATCTTAGAAATCAATTAATCAAATCACATTGCATCATGATCAAGGTGTCAGAAAGCAGACAGTTACGACTTGTCTTCTAGACTGGCATTGAGAAGATACTGGACTATCTAGGGTGTAATCTTTAAATTCTGGAAGATTGGCAGGGGAAGCAGTGTGTCAATTGAGAGCCAATTTGGCTGGAACACAAAAGAATTACATCCTTGTTGCTTCTTTCTACTCCACCTTTGAGCCACTATTTCTGCCCTGGTCAGGTGCCTTGCAAGCCAAAATCTTAGCCTAGAAAACTTGGATGATGGGCAAGACATAACATGGTAAAGCAGAAGGGAAAGGGTGGCAAGGCTATCAGCAATCAACAAGCTACTTGACTTTCTTGTGTCGTATTTTCAGAATTGTAAGCATTAGTGTGTACCTCTTAAGTAGTTTTTGAGTCATTTAGATGGACTTTGAATGTGTTTAATATAGAAGAATGAAAATGTATTCATATTCTTACAGTTGTGTGTTCATGACTCAGTCAGTCCTAGTGTACTGAGTACAATATAGTAACTGTACAGCTTTGGTCGGGTTTTTTTCTGTGTAGGTCAATGCCGCAGTTAGTCTTATGCTGAAAAATAGTGTTTGAAATACTATAAGCATGACTTTAGAAAAACTTTCAAGAGGACTATTGAATTTTTAACAGTCAGGGTTTGGTTATATTCACGGATTTATTTTAGAACAAGTGTGGCTAAACACTGCTGAGATTGAAACTCCAAACTTGGCTCACCTGCAGCTGCAGTGGAAGATCTTAAACTCTGCAAGTTACAAACTTCTGAAACTCTGTGGCTTCAGAAATGTCTCCTCAGTGAATATTAAAGCCTGTAATCTCTCCTTGAAGTTAGTTCACTGTTATATAGCTAATTGTAGAACTGTTAAGATAGCAGTAATTTGTATTAATCATGTGTCAAAAATCAAGCCATTTTATATATACATAAAGAGATGTTCAGAGGGAGTCTGATCTGTGCCATGAACTGCTGAAGGAAGCTTGAATCTTACTCTGTGTGTATTTTGTTTCTGTTCAGAGGTGTTTCCCTGTCACAGAGCGGTCTTGTGCAAACAAATATGTCTTAGCATTAGGAGGAACAGAGAATGAAGAACAACATGTGTTTTGCAGACTGCATGGGAAAGAATCAGTATCAAAGAAACATTTAAAATACCTGACAGGCACTATTGGTAGCTTCACAGATGCACAGCTGAGAAATTCATGAAACATTCTTGTAGTTTTCCACCTGGTGGAGCTGATAAAAATTTCTAGGGAAAATTATTAATAGTCTTATCAAGAAAATGTCACAAAAAGTTGTGTTTGGTCCTGTGACATCATTCCACTTAGAAGTATAATATGTGCCTGCCTGGATTAAAAATGCAAAGATTTACAGTTCTAATTTGTAGAAATGTGTGGGCTGAAAACCTCTAGTTTCCTTGAGACCATTCTGATGTAATTACATATATCATGACCTGTCTCTGTAGGTAGATGCGTGAGCACGCTTCAAGTCTGCATTACTGTCATAAAAGGATTATGGTTTCTCAGATCATGGTGGAGGCTGTTTTATCCATTAGGGCCAGATCTTTAAATCCAGAGCATCTCTTTTACAGAGTAGTTTCCATCCCATCTTTCTCCACCCAGTTATACAGACTGAGGATAAAGCATGGTTAGTGGAAAAATCACAAGTAACTCAATAGTACTGTGAGTCTAAAGGTATGTGACAAGCAGCAATACCAAAATTGCTGGATATTAGTTCCAGTCTACAGCCTTTTTCCCCTCTCTGTAACCCCTTATGCCTGTGCTCTGTCCATTTGTTCTCTTTCCTGGTTCTTTTATTGTCCCTGGAAAAATGCTAGAGGAGAGCAGAGTTCACAGCTGTGGGCCCAATAAGGGTACTCTGTTCCTGAGTGGGCAAGCGATTTTGTTGCAATAAGAGAGCAAAGGAGTCACATCATTACCTCATTGTGGGGTAAACCGTTAAGCTGCTAATGAGGTCAGGTCCATTGGGACGAGAAGGGGTAGTGAAGGGAAGGGGGAGTCCTAGCTCACAGCTCCTCATGCTTCACTTAGACCATGTCAAAGTGGTCTCAGTAATTATTAGTATCAATACATCAGTATATTTAGCATTCTATATTAGTCTCTATATTAATATGTTTGTGTATATATAATTGATATAGAGGCTATTATTAGCTTATACACTCCAGGGCCAGTTACAGACTTTTCAGTTGTCTGATCTGTGAAACATCTGCTGGGGGTTTCCAATGTCGAGCACAGTGGGGCAACATCCTAACATCAAATTACAACAACTATGACCAATCAGGAAGAGTTTGCAAGGAAATTCCTAGTGTTCTCTTAACAAAGTTTTGTGGCTATAGATAGTGTGTTAATTTGTTAGCTTACAGGTGATTTTATGTTGCTTGGTGTGGTCTTCCAGCTAACAGCTGGGACCGCAGATTATTTTGTGGATTTCCTCCCTTGATGCCGGACCTTTTAACATAAAGAGAGAGAGAGATGCTTTTAAGAAACTTACAACTTAAGCTAATTGCTAATGTATTTGTGTATTGCAGAGCTAAACGGGAACAGGAGCTGCAGCATTTAAAAAAACAGAAGGAAGATGAGGCTCTAAAACTGCAAATGCAACTTCAGAGACAGAGAGCCATGAGACTCTTCCATGAACGACAGCTGGCCTTACTGGAAATAATCCATGCCAGTATGATTTATATTAAACTATATCAGAAGATTAAACTGTCTGGGTCTCCTTAAGAACAGTTTCCCCAAATATATTTCCTAATCTTGCATGCCTGTTTGCACTGTAGTCTTACTGTCTCACCTCCTGACCCAATTATCTGACAGAGAACATGCTAATTCTACAAGGGCTCAGTAACTCCTGAGCAAGATCTGCTGCCTTCAAAATGGTGCAGGAGAAAGGGAGACACAGTTTTCTTGGGTTATAAAGTTCTGTTGCAGCTACAAGTCTCTGAGACATGGCCCACAGGTAGTGGACCTTGGATGAACAGGGTTTTTTAAATGATAGCACCCAAGGTTTTTTTGGTACTATCTAGTTTGAGGATTAACAATGCAAATTGTTAAGAGATCCCAACCCACAGTCTTATAACTTGATTTTTGTTACATTTGTAGGTCAGGTAAATAAGTACATGGAGGAAATGGAGGGGAAATCAGCATTAACTATCCAGAGATTCTGGAGAGGGTATAGAGCAAGAAGAAATTTTCATCAACAGCGACAATCTCTTAAGGAGTATAAAGCAGCTGTCATCATTCAGAGAGCAGTAAGTATATATACTTCGTTCTAGCTTTAGATACGACTCAGTGGATTATTGTGATGCCTCAGAAGGCATCAGGTTCTCAGATTCTCTTGCTGTCGATGTAGCTACAGTTTGTTAAAATATTATTTAGAGAATGATAGTCTAGAGCCACAAGTTGCTTAGACAGGCTAAACCTTGCATAGGTCACAAAGCCTGATACTGTCTTGTAACTAAAATCTTAAGAGCTGCTGCTTTGAAACCTAAGGTTGGAATTGCACCACACTAAAGATGAGTCACTAATTTATTATGAGTGTTCTTACTTACTATTTAGTATTCATGCTGACTGTTGTATGCTGTCTTTTTAGCATCATAGCTAAATTTATGCTTTAACAGATGCAGTACTGAAACATTTTTCTTGCATTGATTGTCTTCTCGCTTTGTTTGTAATCAAACTTCCTGTCTGTGATTGTCATATTCTCATATATTCTTTACAAAGGCTCTTAAATTCTTGGAAAAACGAAGGAGGAGGAGACCTCTCTCTCCTTGGATAGATCCCAAGGGACTGACTGATGAGCAGAGACTGGCTTTGCAGCAGAAGGTGGATGACTACATCAAATTGCATCCGGTCTGTTTCTTAGTCATTTCATAATTCACATTAATGATGCAACATAAAATAGTGTAGGGATGAAATATATTTGGCTTCACAAATTCTGATCAAGATAATCTATGTGAGGTATGCATATATTAACCCTGCTTATCTGAGAGCAAGGTACTAGGATATTGGGGATTTTAACCATTAATCTAATAAAAAGGGTCAAAGCAAACTGTAATTGGAAAATTTATATACTTGATGATGGATAGTTTTGAAGAGAGCGCAGAAGAAGCAAAATTATTAAGTTAAAAATTAAAAACAGCATTTGTATTACTTGTTTAGATGTCGTTCTGCCCCCAAAAGATTTAAAATAACCAGCTCCTAATGGTAATAAACTGTTACTTTCCTCCAGGCTTCCCAAATGTCAGAAGAAATGAGTAAAGAATTACATATGCAGGCCCAGGAAAAGCTGGCACAGTTCCTGTTGAGGAGCAGGCTGGATCAGAGAGCAGCGCAGCGGAGAGAGACGTTACTGGCTCAGGTCAACACCGATGTGGAGCTGCTAATGAGTATGTGACCGCTCTGGTCATAGTTTTGATTACCGTTTGGATTAAACTAATTTAGAGAGAAAATTAGAGGGAACAGTGTAAAGGCTCATTTCAGAACTGAAGTATCTTTCTTCCTTTGCCATATGCCTTATCTTGAGATTCAGGCTTTGTTAAAGATTATCCAGGTGTTGCTATAGGTTAAGTACATACACATGCTTTTCAAGGAGCAGCTGCTTATTCTGCTAGAAGTCTCTCTCTGATATATTCACAAGAAAAGCAAAGGCCCTGTAAAAGGCATTAAAATCTATAAAAAGGGGATCTCACATAAACTCTTCCTCTACATTTATTTTACTTTGGTCTGTTTTCTTGTGTTGTGAGATGCTGGTTGAAGCACTCTCGCCTCTTCCAGATGAAGAGGGAAATCTGAGCTATGAATTCTGAGTCATGTTTTCATTTTCTCTGGCCTGGCTTTGTTTGAAACAGAATTCACTATTGTGCTATCTTAATTCCAGGCAAGTAGCCTGGAGTGAAAGAATGAGAATAGCAAACTGCAGCCACCAGAGAGCACCCAAGCAGGACAAAATTCAGCAAGTTACTGAATTCCATTACTTAGTTTGTCACGTGCTCTGTGACTGCAGCTCATCGCTCCTTGACCAGGCAAATCAGCAACACACTCCTATACTGCGCTGTGTCCCCCAGGCAGGGAATGAATACGCAGTGCTGCTGCACCAGAGCAGTGGAAACACTACACTGATGTCACCCTGCACCAGGAGTGCTGATCCAGCAGTAGCAATCAGGAGAATCCTCTTTCTGTTAGGTCACAGTTTCCCAAGAAGTCATTTTGGCAGATGCCGCCACTGCACCTGAATGAAATAGTCCTGCTTTCCCCCTTTCTTCTCCCTCCTCCATTACGCTGTTGGTTTTTTGTTTGGTTTTTTTTTTGTTGTTTTTCAGATTTAGCCTTAAATTTGGATTGATTCTCCAATCAGGTTTATCATGCAGCCATAAAATTGTAATGCCAGGGAAAGGAGTGACCTAGGACAGTGGGAAGTGGGAGGGTAGCACTGCTCCTTTTTTTGTTTGAAATGCTTATAAAACAGCAGAATAAAAACATAAAATACAGAAAACTGTTGTCCTTGTTCTTACAGATGCTCCAGGGTTAGCAGAGACCACAGAAAAAGATCTTGATGTCTTTATGAGTCGCTCAATCCCTGTAGCTACCAAGGCAAGACAATCCCACAACACTATGCTGAAATACACTCGCTGGCCATGGTGGAAGAAGCTTGGAGATGAGTTTGTGGAGGATGATGTAATTCCTGATGATGTCCTAAATGCAGAACTGGGAACTCTATTTATTGGTGGAAGGAAATCCTTTTAGGTAACAGGCAGAACAATTTCTTACTTAACCAGACTCATACCTTGCGCTATGCATTCACTTGCGTGTTTTTGAGGAAGGAAAACATTTGAATTGTAAGACAAAGCACTGAAAAAGACCAAAGCCTTATTTTAGTGCATTTTACTTATTAAGAATCTCTTCCTGTACATCAACAGTTAGATCCTATTGATTGTGCTGTGGCAAATAAGATTTAAATACCATAGTTGTAAATGAAATTATTTTGTAATTTGTATCACTTCAAAAGTAAGTTCATAACCTTTGGCTTTTCAGTTCTTATTCACATTTGGATGCATAAAGAATCATGCCATTGTAAAAGCCTGGGCTTTTATAGCAATATAGCAAAGCATTTTATCAAGTGATATGCTTTGAGATAAAGATCGGTTCGGAACAAACCAAGACACAGATAAGAAGTCAGGCAAGCACTAGGCAGGCTGGGTGCTTAGGGCAGGGTGGAGCATCTAACTTCAGTCAGCATGGGCAAAGCGCGGCCTGAGGAACCTCCGCCAGCCTCCTGATGGCAACAAAGGAAAAAGCAAGGGGAGCAAAAAAAAATGCCAGTATTCTTGGATTATATGTGTTCTCCTTTAAAAGCACACAGTTCTTTCCACAGACAATGGAGTGCATTGTAACATGGGATTATAGCCTCGGTGTGACCACCTGGACCATCAGCTCTGTTGTCTTAAACCATGCAGATGCTGTTTAATCCAGAAAGGTCTCCAGCACAGGGCCTCTGCAGTCACTGTGACGCTCAAGGCTGCAGCTAGTGCTGTAGGTGTCTGCGCTATTTTTTAGGTGAGTGGCCCAGAGAGTCTTAAGAATTAGATCTTGCCTTCTGCAGAGGAGGAAAAATTGCAGTGATTTCTGCCAGTTGTATGTGGGCAGCAGTACTGGTTCAGCGTGTTTGTTTTCCATTCTCTCTAGAAGGTTTTGAGTTTTAATTTTAGTGGAAATTAATGGAAAACAAATAGAAATAGCGGGCAGAAGCCCAAGCCCATTCAGATGCAGCTGATACATTAAAATTAATAACTGGACAGTTGCCAAGAGGAAGAGCTGTGCTCTGTGTTTTTGTTTTTTTTTTTTTTTTTTTTAACAGAGCTGTGATTTGGAAGGCACTGAATTGGCTCTTGGTTCCTTTCTTAGAGAGTTAACTGGTGGAACAATCCCTTAGGTATTTGCCAGGGCACTTGCATGTGTCTGTGAATTACATGTTGTTCTGCACAGACCTGCTATTAGTTTTAGGCTGTGCCCGTAACAACACAGGTGCCCTACAAGCACCTGAGCAGAAGGGCTTGAGGGAAGTCCCTGAGTGCTCCAGGGGCTGGAAGCGACCCCCCAGCAGCTGCCAAGCTCCAGTGCAGGAAGAGGCCCAGCGTCTCTGGATGAGCTGCAGCAAACCGGCTGTTCCCTCGCAAATACGTGAGTCCTCTGTGCACATCATAGTCCCCTCAGCTGTGCAGCCACTGACCCAAACTATTTTGAGACAGCAGCCTCTGCTGCTATGTTTATTCCTAATCACCCTCATTATAACAGCCCTTTAGTGCAGTTCATAAAGGTGCTTTGCTTAATGTATTTGATGTAAAGAGATAAGCCCCCCTGGCCAGTGTTAAATAGGTGAATTATAGAGCCATCTTACCAAAAAGCCACTTATTGTAATGGTAATGGCCTCTGCCACTCACTGCCATTGGAGTGGATAATGAACTCCCCCTTTGGAATATGCAGTTTGCTGGATAATGGGGTTTTTTTTAAGTGAACAGAGAGCCTGGTGGAAGGTGCAGTCTTGCTGGAGGAATTCAAGTTGCTGGGTTGTTTATTACCAGCCCATCAGCGCAAATTCCCCTGCTCCACCACTGCTCTGGTAAATAAAAATGCCTCTTCTTTCTTTGTGCTTGTCCCCAGGAGATCTCTGTCATCTCCATTTTGCAGACCAAGGAAACTGGCAAGAGAGCCATGAGGGAACGTGCCTATGGCCACATATAACTGTATAACCTGTCACTTGTTCCCCTTGCTGTCCCAGGCAGATCAAGCCGGAAGGGAGGCACTGCAGCATGCTGGGGTGGAGCTGGGGGATGCTCTCAGATGCCCATCCCTGTGGCCATTCATCGCTTAGAGCCTGGGCCCAGCGAAAGAGATCCCTGAGCTCCCCCACTGCGCCCCTTTGCTCATGAGTGGGAGGGATTTGGTATAGCTGGGCTCATCCTCTTTTCAGATCCTCCTGCACTATGCGCAGGACATGTTGCTGGTGATTTATGTCACTGCAGCTCCTTCTGGGATAAAATACTCCTGCCTGGATAATGGGAACAGGCATAGACAGCTGAACAAAAGCCACCTCCAGCCTGCTACCAGGTGAATAGTCTTGTTTGGCTTATAATCTTTGGGTCATACGATCACCCAAAAAGGGACTGTAGGAGAGGCCATGAGCTGAGACAGGTCCAGTCCTGCTCCCACTTGTCTGCTTGCTGCAGATCACAGGCGTGCCCAGAAAGCTGGGAGCTGTTACTCGGGCATAAAGGTGTGGCACAGGTGGTCCAACCAGGTAGGAAAAGGGGCAGAATCTGGTTGTGCCCAGCAGGTCTGTGCTGTGCCGCTGCGGAGACTGGGCAGGCCTGCCCCGGCAGCCTGCAGACAGACCCTGCTCACCCCCAAGGACGGCGGGGATGCCCTCCCCAGCGGCAGAGCGGGGGGGCACGCTGTGGCGTAAGGAGGGGCAGAGGTGAAGCCTGAGCTGCGAAGGCAGCAGTGCTCAGGTCATTAAATATTGACGCTGTCTAAGCTGGCCTACGGGGGCGATTTAGCTGAATTGCAGGTTTCTGTTGCTGCGATAAATTGGACCAATTTGTCATGTGGTTTTGTTTCTTCCCTCCCGTAAGTAAAGCTATACAGGAGCGTTACTGCTATAGCTTCAGCGGCAGAGCACAATCTGGAAAACAAAATCCTCTGATGCATGTGAATAAAAAAGAAGGGACAGCGACTGTTCTTCTGCTGAAGGTGCCACCAGTCACAGAGCAGGAAGAAGGCAGCAAATGGAACAACAAAAAAAAAATCACTCAGACTTTTCAGAGCTAGAGACAAAGCAGTGTCCTCTGCTGGCTCCTGCAATTGAGGAAAATTCCTGTTTATGCAGACAGATTTTTTTTTTTTTTTTTTTTTTCAGCTTTAGCTGTAAGTGGACTCTGCAAACAACAGGACACTCAATCTCCAGCAGAGACACGCACTCGAGAGTACGCTGTGAAGTCCAAGGGCATCTCCTGGCCTTTCAGACTGGAGGTAACGGGAGCTCTGAGCTGAGGACGGGAGATAACCCCCACGCTATTTCACCTCTCACCTCCAAGTTTTCCACTGCCGATTTCCATGGGAGCAGAATCTGGTGCAAACATCTGCTCTCCACTGCAGAGCATCGCAGGCATCAAGTACAAGGAGAAATGAAAGCTTCCTCCAAGTAGTGGAGTCGGGGCTATTTATAAATTAGCATGCATCAGAAAAGCAGGCAGCACTTTGCAGGGGGAGCTGTAAAGATCATCGCAATCGGTCTCCAGGTTCTCCTTATCATCCTTCTTTATAGCACAGTAACAGCGGGTCATCCTCCAGGCATCCTGGTGTAGAGTGAAAAAATCTTTAATAAAGAGATGGTTTATTAAATGAGCGACAGATTCACCAAGGGGAACTAAAGGAGGGATGCTTCCCCTTCTCCCCTGCCCTCCCTGAAGGCAGGGCTGGCTTCCTTCTGGCTGCCGCCTTAGGGCAGGAGGGCAGAGCCTGGCAGGTGAGGACCCAGGTCAGGACACGAGGGCTCTGGCATTTTTTCGTAGCTCTGCCAGAGAACTCCTCTGTGACCTTGAGCACATGCTGCCTGTCTTTTCCTCTCTGGAATGAGGCTTACTGAGGAGGTCTCGTATGTTGCATTTGTAATTTGTTTTATGAGCCTTCAGTGGAGGATGCTGTCTGAGCCCAGTGCCGCTGAAATGGAGTTTGACAGGCCCCAGAAAGAAAAAAAAAAGTGTATAATCAGATGTTGGAACACACAGAAAGAGCGTGGGGTTGCTGTGCTATTAATTTCTCTCCAGATTCAGCCTTTCTCCACAGAATTTAGTTCTTTTCTATTTAATTACGTTCTCAAGCAGAAACAATATCTTTACCTATACTTGATCACTTAATAAAACCCATGGAAGCAAGCACCTCTCATCAGGGAAACTTCATTTAATCCATCTCACCGATCCAGAACCTGCCTGCTGGGAATGAGATGAACACAGATACATGCAAGATGACCCAACTCAATCTAGCCTTACACGGCAGAGCCGGTGAACTGCGAAGCTTAATCCGGGAAACAATCAAAGCACCCATTAAGTTTGCCAAGTCCTTACTGTCTGAAAGGGAAGAGGTGTTCAAGCTGGCGCTGCAACCCCTAAAGTGAATGGTGAATTAAAATAAAATAGTTGCAAATGCAGGACACAACTCAGTTCTATGCTTAGGAACAGGGAAAAATGGCGGCATTGCCATTGCCTTGGCTTTATTATTCCCCTGGTTCGAGTGAGGCTGCCTGTCACGTCTAAAAGCCTGTGAAGCTTGACCCAGGAGGATAGTCACGAAGCCACCAGAGCCATGCTTGCCTCAGGGCGCAGGACCGTGCCGTGATCTGTGAGCAGGTACTGGGGGCTGCCGGGGAGGTCGACCTAAAGGAAACCTGCTGGGCATGGAAGCCGAGGGACCCCAAGCAGTGTAAGAGGAAGCCGAGAGCTAACCCAAGTCCCAGCTTCCTCGCTGGTGCCTCGGAAACTGCCGGGCACGCTCGGCAAGGAGGGGAGCAGGGCTGGGGAGAGGGGTGAGTGGCC